AAGAAGCACCATGAGAATTAAAAATGAGGAGAAAAGAGAGGGGAAGAAGTTACCCCTTGAGGCAGAACCAAAGAAAATACAAGAATAAGCCCCACAAAATTTCAGCAGCACCTCGCCCTTCCTCTGAAAATTTCGGCCCTCCTCCTTCAAGCTTTACCCAAGAGAAGGCAAGGCCTTCCCAATGCCTCAAATACGAACACACAGAATAAAGAAACAAGAAGCAAAAATGGCAGCACCTCCCCCACTCAAAATAAAATTCGGCTAACCCTTAAACTCTTCCCCAAGTGGGTTTTTATAGCAAAAGGGGGAGAGGAAGGAGTCACCTGCACTCACCTGGACGGTGCCAAGCCGAGAGAAGCGACAAGAGTCGCGCGGGGGGGAAGATGACGACAGCGAGATGACGACAGCGACGTAGCTTTGTCGCAGAGGAGCAGCTCGCGTGGCACGGCGTGGAAGAAGACGACAAGAATCGCAGAGGCGTGGGAGGGGAAAGCCGGAGCGCGACTGGAGTAGGTGAAGGCAGAGCCAAGAAAAGGAAAACCACAGCTCGGGGAGACTGGCACGGCTTCGGGAAGGAAGGCCGCGGGCAGAAAGTGTCGGGCAAGGACGAATGAGAAGTCAACTTTCTTTTGCGTGGAGGAGGAGCTCGGTTCGCTCGAGACTGAGAAAGGGAAAGGTCAAGCACGCGAACGGGAGAAGGAAGGGAGGCAGGGCTCGGGTGCATGAGTTTAGGGATTTAGGGCTTAAAGAGAAAAAGAAATATTTGGCTTATATAAATTAATATATATATATATATACCAATTCATATGCGATTTATTCACGCGCGGCGACGTAACAAAATGGGTGTCCTCCTCAGGCAAAATCGACGTTCCGGACGTGCCGTTGCAGCCCGTTTTGTCATCTGGGGTCGCTCAGACTACGTCGCCGAAAATCGGATAAAAAACGCGTTAAAATTCAAATTTCACAAAATTTCGTCCCGCGATCGATAATTTCAAAGAACTTATTCGAGTCTTCGACATGTAACATTGCAAATTTCAAAGAGTTTATTCGAGTCTTCGACAGGTAACATTGCAAGCGATGTGAATTGTGGAGATCAGATGTGTTGACTCTCCGAATTGCGAAGTTTGTACGTGTGGGATTGCGAATTGTGCAGAAGGCCTCCCTAAGGCTTAAAAGGTCCTATAAGAATTTCTTTTGGGTTTCCTCATGCCGGTTTCACCCTTCTAAGTGCTAGAAGTTGACACCACACATGCGAAACCACAAAAGAGTACAGAAGTGGGTTGAATTTCTAAAACGAGACGGGTCCCATTTCTAAGGTTCTAAGATAGTCAAAGGGAGATCCCTAAGGCTAGATCCTAAATCCTAAGAGGACTAGACCTCACCAAAAATGAGTTCAACAAAGGGTGAGTTAAAGTGAACTACGATTACATTTTATTCCTTTAGGATATCAAATACAATTAGTTGGTTTGAAAGTATTAAAATTGTAAATTTGAGCAAGATTTTTGCGGTATCCTTTGATGCCTTAAGAGTTGGCAATTGGTCGACTCCTTAAGCTAGGACTCTTCGGTAACATTTTTTTTTTTATTTTGGTGAGAAGCTAAATTAAGCTCACCAAAGATTCACTATGTATGATTGAGAATTACATGTCATAGTACAGAATTTGCACTTTTGGCGACATTCTCTCCATTCTCTAGAGTTTGTGCTCTTCTTAAATGATAATTCTCTCAAGCAGCTTTACTTTCAAAAGAGACGAAGCTCACGACATGATAAGAGGGTGCAATTTATTGAAGAGTACAACTTTGTTCTCAAAGACAAGGCTAGGATAAAGAGAAAAGCTATTGGTGCCCTTTCCAAGGTTTCATCACTATTACGCACAATGAGTGTGAAGTCATTCGAGTTTGAAAAAGTAATCTTAGTCCCATCTATCAAAATTTGAGCTAGATTTGCATCTTTAAATAAACAACCATCTATTCCCGACTTGAGGTTTGACATTTGGCGCAATGCCTCTTGCCACTTGTGATTTATCTCCGCCTCGCTTCACTTAAGGCATCAATCCCGAATTCTATGTTGATGCTTACATCGCTATTAACTTTCCCGCTAACATTTGCATGTCATTGTGCAGATATTGGACGGGTGGTTCATTTGCTCTTTTGATGATATTGTCCAATGATGCTTGGTTTCCTGGAGAAAAAATTCATCACTTGAGTATTATTTGTGGCTGATACATGTAGATTTACAATAGATTTATCTCAGTTATAAATTATCCATCCTCTGTCATTATTGAGCACATAAACTCTTCTTCATTTGAATTCTCTTCAACCCTCAAGTTATTGACTGAAGGTCACTTTTTTTCATAATTTATTTATTTTTAATTGAATTTTTATTCCCAAGTGAAAGTCTCCATCTTAATCATTGGTTGTACAACTTGGTCCATTTCCAAGTCGCATCTAGGACTCAGGTTTTAAATGTCCTACATCATTGACATTTGGAATTACTTCTAGAGATTGGATGGGAAGAAAGAGTGAAGAGAATATCATGAGTGACTAGGGTTTTGCTCAGGATAAGGAAGAGGAATATCTTATGCAAGATCTAGATAACAACACTTCAACTTTGATTAGCTTCATAATATGTAGCTTTCAAGTGCAGTGGGCATTTTTGCTTGGACCTACCATAAAGTTTCTGATCTTCCTGGTAAATTAAAAGGTCGCAACTGGTCTATATGAAAAGCTTGGTTAATACAGCTGATTTACCCTCAGTTCTTAGTTCTGTATAATGAGTTAATGTCTGAAATTCATTTCTGCTGTTGTTTACTTTTATGACTAAATCTGATATGTCTTGTTCAGCTGAGAAAGCAGGCGCTTGCTTCTCTACATAGTGGTCTTCAGAATAACCAAGGGATTCCCATCGCGCATGTTGAAAAATGGCTGGCTATGGAGGTATCATCATTGCTTTCTTGCTTTTTATGGCTTCCATGTTGACATTGTCTTCCATGTGACTCTTTTCCCTTTTTCTTCCTAGGGGGAGGATGTTGAGGGTCTTCTAGAATATCATGGATTCTCAATAAAAAAATATGAAGAGGCATACATGGTGAAAGAAGGCCCCTTTCTCAGCACTGATGTTGATTTCCCCACAAGATGTGCGCAACTTGTTCAGCATAAGAGATCAGAAAAGATAGTCGATGATGTCAGAACTGCTTCAATCCTTGAAGAGCTTTATGTGGAAAGGGAATGCGGAGATAATATTGTAGATATATTCGACCATGAAAACTCTGTCAACGCTGAAAGTCACGCAACTGCTTATGATGAAAAGATGCTGGATAACAATATTTGTTATTCTCCTAAAGTTCTAACTAAACCTTCTAGTTTGTTTGAAGAGCGACTTCCATTTATTGAAAATAGAGGAATTGAAATGAAAACGGAAGAAATGCCTGCCATGAGGACAACATTTATGCCTCCGGTTGAGAATGTTGGTAAATATGGCCAACAATATGATAATCAACAAATAATACATCGTTATGATGAGACTTTCTTTAATGAAGTGACATTGCAAGTTCTTGAGAGTAGTAAAATCCAACCACCTGTTCATCAAAGTTCCAGTTCTTCCATGATAGATAGAAATTCAACATCTAAAATGTCTGAAAGTGAAGAGCTTGAGAGTGAAACTCTGCTTCCCTTGTTTGATCAAGAGGAAGCTAAAAAGAAAACACTGAAACTGATCTTAAGGTCAATTATTATTTAAATGTATCTTTATTTTACGTTTTTGTCAAATTTGTTCCATTTAATGCTAATTACTTACTAATCATCAGGAAATGGAAGAAGCGGGCAGCCATGAGGAGAGCAAACAGGGAACTGAAAGAATTTCTGGCTAGTGAAGCACTGAGCTCACTATCATTAGGACCACCTATTGGTCAAATTCAATATGTGAGTTATTATTTGAAGTCTTGCTAGATTTATTTTCCTTTTTATTATTTATTAACAATCCTTTCTAACTAATTCTATTCTATTTGAATAAAGCAACAATCTAGGTCCTATAAACTTCCTGACATTGACGCTATTTCAAATGCTAGACATGGAAAAATAGTCAATTCATGGTCAAGGTTGAACATATCTGATTTGGTTGCACCAATTATGGTTGCAAGAAACCCTAGCATCAGATTTATTTGTTGGAAGTTGATCCTTTTGGTGCAACCGAGTGATCCCGATAACCAAACCCATCAATTAGCTTTAGATTGGTTGTTCTTTAAGCTATTAGGTAAAGAACATGATGCTGAGTTGGTGGTATGCTCATCAGGTTTATCAATATGGAAGAAATGGAGCGATCCCTATGGAAGTTCTCCCCAAACTTGTTGCTTGTCTATCATCAGAGAAAAGATTCTTGATGGCAGCCATACAATTGAAGGGGATGTCCTTCATGGTGCAAGTTGCTTGGCTTATCTTGTCTCAGAGACCATTCCATGGGAAATTCAGAGAGCTCGGCTTCAAAACGTTTTGGTGTCTGTACCAGCTGGATCTAGCTTACCACTTTTAATATTGAGTACTGATTCACCTAAAGGAGAGTATGCAGAAAGATCAGTTAATATCACGAGAAGACTATCCCTTCAAGATGAAAAGGAGATGAGGATATCCTCTTCTTTTGTAACGTTTCTTTCTGACAGCAGTTTAAAAAATTTGCCTGGCTTCTTTGATGATAACCAGTTGAGAGCGGGTTTGCAGTGGTTGGCAAATAATGTCCCGACTCTGCCTTCACTTTGTCTTGTCAAAACTCGTGAAGTGGTCCTAAATTACTTGAAACGATGCATGGAAGTCACTGCAAATCACAAAGGATTTGACATTGCCCCAAATGATTGCATAGATGGATTTAATAAAGCCTTGGATAAGTCAGCGGAGGAAATCATGGTTACAGCATCCATGAATCCAACTCAGTGGCCAGCTCCAGAAATTGATCTTCTAGACAACTCTAGCAATGAGGGAAGGATGGCAGGCCTATACCTTCCAAGCACAAGCTGGAATTCGCCCACAAGAATTGATCAAATCATTAGAGCTATTAAATCCTGCAAACTTCCAAGTTTTCCTGACACAGCCTGGCTGAAGCACGAGTCGCTCACTGGTGTGCAGCTCAAGCAGCAAAAGTTGGCTCTTGAAGAAATCTTGATGAACTACCTGCATGAATCAAACAAATTGTTAAACGCCGATCTAGCCGTCCGTGAGGCAGGCGTAATGCTACAGAAGTGTGTAGGTCTCCAGCATTGTGGATCTGGTTACTGCCTTATTCCAAGATGGAATTTGATTTTCCAGAGAATTTACTCTTGGCAATTAAATAAACTAACTGCTCCGGGAATCTCCAATGTTTACATAATGGATAACAAGGATAATCTTCTCACAAATGATGCACTTGACTCTGGAGTAGAGCAATCATCATTTCTTTATTTTCCTACTGATGTTTCTCTGGATGAATTGGTGGAGAAAATTTGCAGTAATCCCTTTGAAGAACGGCGCATCGTTGTTAGGCCGATGCCTCCTAGAAGCACCGGTGGAGGCGGCGATGATGTGAAAGCCCACGAGGACGAAGATGGTGACAGTGCAGAGGCTGGAATGAGTAGCCGAAACCATGATGATCTCCGATGCAGCTCTTCTTATGAGCTCGTTCCAGAGCTCATGGATACAAATAAACAGATTGTGGATCTACCAGTTTTTAGGAATGATAGGCTAGCCACGTTACTAAAGCGTTGTAACAGAGTGCAAGACATGATAGACCAGAAGCTGGCTATCTATTTTTGAAAATTTTGAGCTCCTATCTATTTCTTTCTTTTTTTCTTTCATCTTGCGATACATTCCTTCTGTTTATCTATTTTGTATTTAAATCCTATTTGTTGATGTTTATTTTGATAAAAATATTAATCTTTTTATGATATTAAATATACCACTCCTCCCATTGAACGACTTAATAGTTCTGTTTAACCCCCAAGAACACTACCACCTTCTTGGCCCCTACTAAAACTGAATGCTTTGCCTTCCTTGAAGCCTCTTCTTAAGAATCAAACACACTTGAGCGTCTAACCTCAGGCTTGGGACAAAGATTCGGTCAGGTTCTAACATTATTTTTTATCAGGTTCATAAATTATTGACGGGTAATATTTTTAACATATATAACTGATGAATCTACATGTTTTTTCCGATTGGAATGCTGTATCTCTAAAAATGAAAAAAAATTGTAGAGTGCAGAAGTTTCAAGATTACTTATTTATTCTTGATTTACAGATAAATTGTAGTGGTAATAATAATTATTGAGAAATTTATGTAATTATCCTTGAAAATTCATATGTATATATATATATTTTTTATCAAAATATCAATAGTTTGATTGTGGCACGTCTAAATAAATCGGTTCGGTGGTTAAAAAAAATCATTTGAGTGGTTAAATTTTAAATATTAATGTTTCAGATGCTGCTGTATAATTATACCTAAAAGTTCTTTTGATTTTCATGTGTACCGAATAAAAACCATGAAACGTATGTCAATTTTTAAACGTTTTTTTAACAAAAAATAATTAGGAAATCAGGGCTATTTAAATTCTAATAATAATAATAATAATAATAATAATAATAATAATAATAATGACAAAAATGCTCTCAAAGAATTGAACGACTGAGATGGAGTTTCCGGTGATTGAGGTTCTGCGTCGAAGTGCGAGATGAAGACTGAATTGGCGGTTGATTGCATATCAAAATCAAGTGACTATGATTAATCGAGCGACCTCGTCTGGAGTCGGTTTGGCGGTAATATTGGTCGACTAGAATCCTCCACGGAATTGATCTGATTATCGGTCGACAGAACCAATCGACATTAAAATAGCGGTCGATCGACAATCATTTTATTTCCTTTTATAATGATGTATATTTTATTTGACAAGGAGTAAAATTTAAGCTTAACTTGTTAAAAACAAGTCAAACTTAGAAGAGGGATGAAATGAATGCGAAATATAGGACAATCCAAAAATTGGAGTGGGTCAATTTTACATTGAACTTACTTCAATCAATTTTGCTCATTGTTCCTAACCTACCACCCAATTGGGCGTCCCACTACTTTAGATTTATAGATTCTAGATCCACTCTGTGTAAGTGTGATTAAACAAACGACTCTAGAATTGTTGAGTTAGCTGATTATACTTGCTCAAGGAAGAAATGAGCAAAGTATGTCAGCGAAAGAACAGAAGTCACGACCTACCATGGACACAGACATACTACCGATGCATGAAGATAAAACCACATGATCAAATATCAAGACAAAAATTAGTCCCCAGCGGAGTCACCATAATAAATCTGTTGGTTTTTTTAAAAATAATTTAATTTAATATATATATATATAAATATAATTTTGGAAAAGGGAAATTTAAAATTTGAAAAATGAAATCGAACAAATATCATATATTCAATGGTTTAAATAACTAGGCACCATATTACAAGTATTATATTATCTCGAAAAATGAGAATATCACTCAATAATAGTCCTAATTATTCAAATTAAAAAATTTAAGATATTTATTTGGTCTGCGAAATTTCTAATAGATCATTCCCCTACATAATCTGAAGATTATATAAAATTTTGATTATCTGGGTTACTAATTTTTCTATAGGCGCAAGTTTCTATAGTTAATTATATCTTAAGCGACCGAAATCACTTAAGAAAACTTTCGATTAAAATTCTGATTTTGTCTTTAAGAATTCAAAGTTTAGTTTTCAGGACTGATCATAGAAAAATCAACTAGAAAGACTCAATGTGGAATAGTAACTTCTGGAATCCAAAGGAGCGATGGGTGGAGGATGTCACAGATACTGAGAAGACCTATGTGACTTCTCAAACTATCATATGATTTTATTTTGCATTTTGGAAGCAATGTTATTTAACATTTTAGTTCTGCAACTTATTTAGAATTTTAGGACTTATATTTGCATGACATACAATTATGCAAACGACCTAAGAAGACGGAAGGATTTATGTCTTACCTAATAACGATCTCAAGATCCTGAAAAGAGTTAGAATTTATATCGCTTGACATACAATCATGTGAAAGTCTAAAAGATAGTGTGAAGATTTATGTCGTGCTAAATGAACAACCTCAAAATCCTAAAGGTTCATATTGATTAAGTCTATAGAAAGTTTAGTTGAAATTTATTCCTCGCTTCACATTTTGCCTTCACTTGATCGCCTTAAAGGTTGACAGCTGCTCGTTCACATCCTCACCTAATTCCATGAAAAGAAAAGGGAAGAGAAAATCATGTATCGGAAGGCTTATCATAGGTTTTTTGTTGTTTATTTGTTGTAATCTTGTGAAGTGTATTTTGAATTGATTGTTATTATTATTAAAGTGATTAAAAAGAGAAATTTTATTTTATGTTAAGCGACGCCGGTCAAGATCCCATGATTCCGTTGTCTCGACACCGTAGTTAGTTTTGAATTTACTTAATGAACAACTTCCTTAGACCGGAGAATTCTTGTTAACAACTATATGTTATCTCATCAAGAAATCCTCATAAATCCAAAGGGTGAATTATTATTATTACGTTTTTATTTTATTTTATTATTTTTATTTTGTTGATTAATTATCAATTGGATTTGAATCTTATAAATTTTAATGTTTCAATATTTATATAAGGAATTGAAAGGCGAGGAAAGATTTTAAAATAAAAGTCGAGTGGTTTTGGATAGATTTCACCAACGTGAGGTTTGATGTCATCTATTTCGTCTACCTCAGAGTAGCTTTTGCGATCACCTAATGTCTCGACCACGACCACGTTTACCTCGTAAAGACAAAGAAAAATTTGAATGAGAATTTGAAAACAAAATTGAGTGTCAAGTAATCATACACACATAAATGCCATAATAATAAATAAAAAATGGAAGTGACTTTGCATATGATGTGATATGAGATATATTTTGAAACTCTTGAACGAACTCATGAGATGTGGAGACAGTTACTCGGAAAGGTGGGTATGTTGTGGAGGGTGTGGCCTGACAGATGGGTGTGCCGTGGAGGCAATGAACCAGAAGAGTGGGCATGCAATGAAGACAATGACCCGACAGATGGGTGTACCGTGGAGACAGTTACCCAAAAGTATTGACATGCCTTGGGGACAGCAGACCGACAGATGGATGTGTCATGGAGGCTGTAACTTGGAGGAGTGGGCGTACCATGAAGGCACCGACTCGAAAGATGGGTGCGCCGTGGAGGCAGTAACTTGGAGGAGTGGGCGTACCATGAAGGCACCGACCTGAAAGATGGGTGCGCCGTGGAGGCAGTGATATGAAGGAGCGGGCGTGTCATGGAAGCAGAGAACCGAAAGAAGGGTGTGTCGTGGAGGCAGTGACCCAGAGGAATGGACGTATTGTGGACGCAAATGCCCAAAAGATGGGTGTGTTGTGGAGATAGTGATATGGAAGAGTGGGTGTGTTGTAGCGGCAGAGGCCCAAAAGATGGGTGTGTCGGGATGTAGTGACTCAAAGGAGTGGGCAAGTCATGGAGGCAGAGGCCTGAATGATGGTTGTGTTGTGGAGGCAGTGACCTGAAGGAGTGGGCTTGCCGTGGACGTAGAGGCTCGAAAGATGGGTATGTCGTAGAGGCAAAGGCAGAAAAGATCAGTGTGTCGTGGAGGCAATGACTCGAAGAAATGGGTGTTCAGTGGAGGTAGAGGTTGAAAGATGAGTGTGTCGTGGAGGCAATGACCCGAAAGGGTGATGATCCTCACTGGGGAGAGTCATACAAGTGGGATGAGTGTATAACTGGACTCTCAAAATGCAACTAAAGCATGTGATAAAGATTACACAAGATGTCATACAAGACATATAGCATAAGAAAAGTATCATGCTCGGTTGCCTAGGGTTTATGATGCTATTAAGAAGAATTATACCTTACCCCAACAATGACCAAACATAAATGCAAATGACAAGCACATAAAAAGTATAGTGAACAATGCAAGCAAGTAATCAGACACTAATACACACACATAACATGCACTATACAAGTGATTGGTCGACCGAGCTGGAGTGGTCGGTCATACCTAAGTGCTTGGATGACTAGGCCGGGGTGGCCAGTCAAACCAAAGTGCAATGCCGATCAAACCGGAGCGGCCAGTTGAGGCAGAAAGTGATGCTGACCAGGCCGGGGCAGCCGGTCGAGGCAAAAGTGATGCAAACTAGGCCGAGGTACCCGATTGAGGCACAAGGTGGTGTCGATCGAGTGTAAACGACCGATCGAGGTAGAAGGGATGTCAACTGGGCCGAGGTAGCCAGTCGAGGCAAAAGTGGTAATGATCGGGTCGGGGTGGCTGGTAGGGGAAACAAGTGGTGCCGACTAGGCTGGGGCAACCAGTCGAGCAAGAGTGATGCTGATCAGGTCAGAACAACCGATCAAGGAAAAAGTGGTGTCGATTTGGTCGGGGCGGCTGGTTGACTCGACCCGCAATTACATGATTATTTAATTTTCGAAGGATGACCAAACACTTGACTCAATATATCTTAATGGCTAGTGCACAAAATGATATGTTATAAAATTTAAGAATTTGATGTGCACACTAGGGGTACTACGCAAGTATATATATCGTTTCAAGTAATATAGAATTTTCGTTACAAACCCTAGTATTGATCCCATAAGGAAATAATAACTTTATATAATGACTTATAAAATTCCTACATAAAAAAGTAGATACTTATCAAGGAAAAAGAAGTAATTACTACTAATAAGTGCAGTTTAAAAACTAAATTAAAAATGTTAAGTGTTTCTAAGACAGTTAAGTGTAGAAAAGTTTCAAATTATGTGAAGAATCTTCCTCCTTATAATGAGTTTATAATCAGTGTAGGAATCAAATGTTTAAAGATTAAAATGTAGTTTTGTGCCAAATA